ATTTAATATCAAAATCACACATTTCCCCTAAGATATCACTACTATTAGTAGTTATATTGTCACCATTTTTTATACGCTTTATAGTATTATTATTTTGATGAGTTGATTCAAGTTTAAGGAAAAATGAGGAGTTTGTTTCTCCTTCATCTATCCACTTCGCACGGGATCTAATTTGGGCACCATTGGCTTTTTTATTGATCAGTTCTTTTAATTCAGATTCTAATTTTCTTTTTCTATTCATATCAATATCATTTGAATTTGATTTCTCCATAGCTGCTATTTCATTTTCTAGATGAATGATTTGACGTTTACGTGATTTACTAACAGTTTTACTATATTTTATAGTCTTTTATTTTAATTTTTAATTCCTCCCAAGATGATTGAGCATTTTCGTTTAATTTAGAATTGTGCTCTTAAAAGATCAAAATATAAGAATTGGAAAATAAATATATTTAAAAAAATTGAAGAAAGTTTGTGATACAAATTATTCAATTGATCGATTTCTATCCTTGTATATATAAATGTAAAACAAATACGAAATATGAATGAAACATACTTTTTTATACTCATAAAATGTGAACTGTCACGTATGCATTTTTTTGTGTATTCTATTCTATTCTACTGTATTTAACTATATAATTTTTATCTTTGATATGTACAATTCTTTTTCTATCCGATCCAGGGAGCTCCTGGCACCCCAGGTGAGGATATATCTGCGAGGGCCTCTGAGGAGGCATTACCTCCACAGTTATTGTTATTAAATTATTGAATAAAATATTAAAAAATGGAAAAAAAAAAAAAAAAAAAAAAACGTTCAAAGAAAAAGACTAAAATCGTTTACTTTTGGTTGCAGTGTTTGTTTTTTAAACTCACAAATTGAAATGAAACAAGATAAAATTAAGGAATCTGTACCAAAAAATTGACCCCTCAAAATTAATTAGGTTCCAAAGTTGTTTATCAATTTAAATATTTAAAAAAATAATAATAGAAATGGCAGCTTTCAATGCACAGTCTATAGAGCTACCAGGTAAGCAAGATCAGCGAAACATTTTAGTGCAATTTGACGTCATTTTAATTATGACGTTATTGTGTTCAATTGCGACGGCAGCCAACGGTATTGTGACGTGCCTGAGTCGACGCTGCGTTACAACGTATGCGCAGATCAACTAGATCGGGCCTAGCTAATATTTATTTGTATTTATTTTAAACAATCGGGCCTTGGCATGACGCTGCATTGCATATTTGCGCAGTAGTACTATGACGTCATAAACGTTAATTGTTTTCTGCACCATCGGACTTTGGCGTGTCAAACCGTCGGGGTTTGGCGCAGACCATCGGACTTTGGCGTGACCATCGCACTTTGGAGTCCCATCGCACTTTGGAGTCCTACAAATATATAAGCAATAATGTACTTTTTATCAATTTTGTTATTATATAAGACGCATAATTGGATGCAATATAAGATGCCAATACATATTCGATAATTATTTTTAGTTTATAATTTTGAAATACCGTAGAAACTCAGATTTTCGTGGGGGCAAAATTCTGTTCTTTTGTCATTTATAAATGTTTCATTGGCATTAGATTTCGTTTGTTCGAAAAGACTCCTATTTATAATAGGTTTATACATTAAGACTATTTTAATGTGATGGTCAATTTTTGCATTTTGCGATAATTTCTAAATCACAAAAAACTAAAAGATGCAGATATTATGTCGGGTATTCTCTGCCATAGTTTTTTCTTATTTATTTTTAATGAAAAAAATAACTTACAAAAAGTAAAGTTGTACAATGATAACCCTTTTCTGCTAAAGTTTCAACACATTCGTATAAATATAAATATTTCATGTACCATTTAATTTTGGTGCTAATTCTCAACAAAATCATTAAAAAAAAAACAAAATTCCTAAAGCTTTTTTCTGCTTTTACAGTATTGATTTGAAAATTGAAAATATATACCATATGAAAATGTTATAAAAAGCTTTAATTTCCAATCACTGAATAATTTTTTTTCTAATTTAGATCTAACAATAGAAAAAGTTCCGAAGCAAGAGATTGTGTTTCCAAAAAATACATCCATATCCCAAAACACCAAATTTCAATTACCAAAAGAAGCCCTTGACAGCCTTGGTAAGCCGATGTCCTATACGTAAACTTTGTTGATCAATGTTTCTTGACTTCCTGGTTTCAATTTGTTACTTTCACTTTAAAAAATCACACAAACTTAAAAAAAAATCGGGTTATTTGTGCAATAATAATTTTGTTGTAAACTAATTTCTTAAACTTATTCTTTGTTACTGTAGGTAATACTGTTGCGTTTACCGCTGTTAAATATGATGATTTCGGATCTGATTTTGAGTTTGAGCACACAGGAAAGTAAATATTAGGCCTGAAATATATTCTTTTTTATTTCAAAATATCTTTATGCAAAATCTTTCCATATCCACAGATTTTAAATGATTTTTGTATATTTACTTCTTCTTGGTAACATTTTTAAACTATAAAAAAAAAATCAAATATACCTTTAAAAGATCCTAAAGCTAATGATATTACATAAACGGTTTTGGTGAATTTAAAAGTCTATATTTAATATAACGATAGAAACCGTTTAATATGTTATAAAGATGCTAACAACTATTAATCTAATGAATTATTTTCCTTTATTATAAGAAAGAACATCAGTGTTGACTCGAGTGTTCTATCACTTACAATAGAGGATCTGAAGGACACTTCATTACAACCAAATAATATCACCCTGACATTTCAGCGAAAAAATGTGAGTAAATTTCTGATGTAAGAAGAATGTACGGTTTGGGTTTTATTGTGCCCTAAAATTTTCATGTTTTTAAAAATTATGAATATGGCTTTATCAATATTTGAGTAGATGAATATGATAAATCATTAAATGATATGGCATGAAGGAGGACTATTCTGGAAATATGACGTCACTTATTCGGTACATTTCTAAGTTTAATGTAGAAATGCCTTAGAGTGACTCATTTTTTGTGTGCTTATTTTCCCTTAGGAAATAGTGTCTGCCACCGTCGCCCGCTTCAAGTTTTAGCTCACCTGAGCCAAACGCTTAAGTGAGCTTTTCTGATCAAAATTTGTCCGTTGTCGTTGTTGTCGTTGTCGTAAACTTGTCACATTTTCATCTTCTTCTCAAGAACCACTGGGCCAATTTCAAACAAACTTTCTACAAAGTATCCTTGGGTAAAGGGGATTTAAGTTTATTCAAATGAAGGGCCACGTCCTTTTCCAAGGGGAGATAATTATGAATTAGAGAAAAATTAGTGGCATTTTTAAAAAATCTTCTTCTCAAGAACCACGAGGCCAGGAAAGATGAAACTCATGTGGAATCATCCTCAGGTAGAGTAGATTCAAGTTTGTTCAAATCATGACCCCCGGGGGTAGGGTGGGGCCAAAATGGCCGATCAAAGTTTTACATACGAATATATAAGAAAAATCTTCTTGTCAAGAACCATTGAGACAGGAAAGATGAAACTCCTGTGGAATCATCCCCAGGTAGTGTAGATTCAAGTTTGTTCAAATCATGACCCCCGGCGGTAGGGTGGGCCAAATGGCCGATAGAAGTTTAACATAGGAATATCTAGGGAAACCTTTTAAAATCTTCTTTTCAAGTACTTTAAAGCCATGCTTAGTGATATTTATAGGGAATCATCGTCAGGTAGTGTAGATTCAAGTTTGCTCAAATCATGACCCCCTGGGGGGTTAAAATTCAAGCCCCCCCCCTTCCTCAGTAAACTTTCAGTTCTGATCTGATATGTGCTTTTTCTTAGCCAATTGCTCAGGTGAGCGATGTGGCCCCTGGGCCGCTTGTTGGATATATTATGTAAACTGCTTTGAAATATGCATATCAAACAATCTTTATGGGCGACGGTGGCAGATTATGTTTCTTGAGAGGAAACTCCACTGAAAATTGATGTCTTCTGCAACTTAAAAAAAAATCGTGAAAATGCACAAGTTAATGACGTCACAATTAGCATTTTGGAGATCATAATTATGAGAAAAACGATATATATATATTGTTACTGCATGGAATTCCTATGATTCAGAAAGAATGAATTTTCAAACGGTCTGACACATAATATGGATTTTCGGAACGGTCCGTGATATGGGTATTGTGACGTCACCAGCATCAAACCGGTGTATTTACTACTTAGTATATGATAAATAAGAATTAACTATGCAATGAACCTGTGATTAATGTATGGGGTCCACGACGGCTGCGACCGTTCAACAGAGGACCTTTAGAATATTTATAGCCTGAGGGTTCCGTGTGTTATGCCCTTATTTAATATTTTTATTGATTATGTATTTTTACATCGATCATTGTTTGATATCTTCAACTTTAATTTTTTTTTTATTCTTTAGTTTCGCATATATGATTATGCTTAATGTTAAAAAAGAAGCTATTGAAGCCCGGAGGACCGGGCTGCTCTATACATATAAGTTTAAGTGTTAGTGTATGGGGATTTAGGTGGGAGAAGTTATTCAGAATTAAAGGTTTTCTAAACATCAAGAAGATTGTTAATCAGAATGTTTTTTTCCCTTTATATGGAATCCGGATAGGGCCACGCAGTTCAATATCGCATCATCGCACCATCGAGGTTTGAGTCGATAGTGCGATGACGCGATAATGCGATGACGATGAAGCAATGAAGCGATAACGATGAAGCGATGGTGCAATAGCGCGATGACGATGATGCGATGGCGCGATAGTGCGATGACGATGAAGCGATGGTGCGATGGAGCGATAAAGCGATGACGCGATGGCACGATAGCGATGCTGCGATGGTGCGATAGCGATGATACGATAACGCGATAACGATGAAGCGATGCTCTATCGTGTCATCATCAGTGCTCTATCGCACTATCGTCATTGCATTATCGCACTATCGCGCTATCGATTCTTATGCGCATGTGCTATTGAGAAAAGAAATGGCGTCAGGTAGTGAAGATTTGAACAGAATATATATGAGAATATATATAAGATATAGATCTTACTGGGCTAATAAACTTCACTTGGGCATTAAAATTAACCATGTCTTTCTTGCCAGACATATAACTAGTTAGAAGACTGTGAAAATATAGTTTGATAATCAAGATAAGTTTGACAATACACTCATCTTGAGACTGATGTAAAAGAAATCGAAATCCGCGTGATCTAGATTTTAGTTTTTAAACGGGGGGGGGGGGTTAATATTGTGGACTGGAAAATAATTACGATGGTTTTAGTTTCACTATGTTTGCAATTCATCTTTTATCCGCAAAATTCAACTCATCGTGAATGCTATCTTTAACTATTAAAAACAAGTAAATGCTATATACGAAATTTAAATTAATTTCTTGCATCGTGAAATCAGGGACCTATGTACTAGTATATAGGTCCCTGGTGAAATAAAAACCATCGCTATTGTACTTTCTGAGAAATCGTGAAATTTTAGCACCGTTAAATACAGTATTCACAACCAAGAAAATTAAAAGCAAACACAAAACAAAAGTCTTCCTCCCTTTCTCCTCTTGGTACATGTACTTCGTGTTTGTTATTTAAAATATGATTATCAAATACAAAATTTAAGTCAATTTATTATCACTGGGCAATCAAATCCTTGCTTGACTTTTAACTACTAATGGTAATACACATGGAAGTTCTTCTGTATAAAACCATGATTTCTTTATTATCGTATCCGTTAATGAAATATTCTTGAATCTTTTCATCAACAAACGCCATGTTGTGCAATGACTGCTGGGAATGCCATCCTATCTATAAAGTCGATAGAGCGATGGTGCGATGACACGATGTCGATAGCGCGATAAAGCAATAACAATGACACGATATAGCATCCCATCATCACTATCGCGCCATCGCATCATCGCTATCGCACCAACGCATCATCGCTATCGTGCCATCGCGTCATCGCATTATCGCTTCATCGTACCATCGCATCATCGTCATCGCGCTATCGCGTCATCGCTTCATCGTTATCGAACCATCGCGCCATCGTCATCGCATTATCGCGACATCGCACCATCGACTCAAATCTTGATGGTGCGATGATGCGATAGTGAACTGCGTGGCCCTATCCGGATTCCATACCTTTATAAATTACGAGATACACAATATATTTATTTCCATAAAGTGCATCTGTAAATATATATATGTTTTACATATTTAATATATAAAGTTGCTTATCATTTACTATCGAAGAAAAAACGACAGGTTCCTTCTTTTAGAACGTCGAATTTTACCTATTGAATAAAAACGTACTTTAATTACACAGTTCGTATTTTAAATTCTTAGAGTAAAATACATTTTTGAAAATATGTGATGCATATGTCTGGTTTCAATTTATATGTAATGCAGCAACATTCACATAAGAAAGGTTTATAAAGTTTAAAAGGGTACCATTTTTGTTCGTTTTCATCCGACTATAAGTTTTCAAAATATTCTCGACTGTCGTCTCCATCATTTAGACGCATGCCTTTTTCACATATATCGAAGCTGTTTGATGATCAACATGCATTTCCATTGTTTACCTTATTTCTTTCCCGGGCGACAATGGATGGTTACATCAATTTTTTCTTGTGATTACTTTAATAAGGGTTTGAATAATCCACGGCGAATTTCGATGCAAAAATAAGTCTGAGTTTGATAGGAGTTTGAAATGGTATAACATTCAAATTTTGAATAACTGAATATGAAGAAATATCTATGTTTATGTGTATATGTGGTCTGTTTCAGAGTAATGAAAACAACTCATTGTCAGATTGTGTGTTTCTTAACTTGTCAACAAAGTAAGTATAGTAAGTGAAGGATTTTAACATGAGTTCCAAAAGAACAATGTCATTGTTCAAGTAATTTTTCATAATCAAATAATACATTATGACTATTTTGCGAAAAAAAATCAAGATTCTTACTCAAAATTCTTTTCAAAATCCCGTCTTGATAATTCTATATTTTTTAAATTTTGTATTAATGAGCTATTAATAGAAACGGAAAAGATAGATAAAGGGTAACCGTAAAATATTTCATTTCTGTTTATCTTATTCTTATCATTTGTATTCTAAGGTTAAGTTTCATAGAATAAGGGGAAAAGAAAAGTGAAATGGTCTTCTTATGTTTGCTTTTTTACACATGAAAAAAAAATTATTGTTATGATTTTTTATATACAAAATTATCTTTCAATTATTTAACAGAACAAAAATAATCCAAATTTTGATTATTAATATAAGTTTATTATGCACCTTAGCATGTGGAGCGACAAGGGATGTAGCGTAAATTTCACGAACAGTTCCCTTACTGTCTGTTCCTGCAGCCATCTTACTAATTTTGCAATTCTGATGAGTTTGTCGGATGATTTATACGTGGTAAGCCTTATTAAGCCTTAACCGAAAACTTTAAAATCAGTTCCAAATCCTTGGCATTGGAATTATTCGAATGTGCTCATTTTTTAAACGTAGAGATTTAATTTTTTGCTGCTGTATCTTTGAAACATATATTCAATAAATACTTAAGATAAACATTATGTGTTTACAGGTATCTCGGAAAGATTATGAGAGATTAAGAATGATTTCCATCATCGGTTGCAGTCTCTCTATCCTTGGAGCCTTTGTAACGATAATCATATATCTGTATTTTTGGAGGTGAATTTTATATTAGTTTACCTAACAATATAGACTTTAAATTTTATGTTGTATCTTTCTGTAAATATGAGAAAAAGGAGAGGGGGATAGAAAATGAGATAATGAGAGAGAAAGTTTTCTTGAAAGTACTTGTTTACAGGACCACCAAGCACCCCTCCTCCATTCCTAACCCCACCATATTCAACCCCGGGGTTTGTTAAACATTTTTATTAACAAATTATACTGATTTTATTTTCATTATTTATACTATAGGGAAAAAAAATGAAACCCTCTAAAACACTATACATTATAATTTTATTGGGGGGAGGGGTATTTTGAGTTTTTTTGAGATTTTTAGCTATGGCACACATGATGACTGAGTGTAATAAATATGATTTTTTGGGAGAAAGTCCAACAAATCCCGGGGTTGAATATCAGGGTGGGTAGGGGTTGTCGTGTTCAGGTACACAAGTACATATGTACCTGTGTTACAGATGTTATGTGTTTAATATTTTACTTTTAAAAGATCGCAGCAATCCCGTCGATCAACGTTGGTTGACAACCTATGTATTCAACTTTGTGTTGCATATCTATTGTAAATTATGAGATAGAGAGAAGGGGAAGAGAACGGTATAATGAGAGAGAGAGAGTTTTATTAGTAATAACTGATGGCGTTTCAATAACATTTTCCTTTGAAATAGATATATAAAATCCCGTCGATCAACGTTGGTTGTCCACCTGTGTATTGCACTTTGTGTTGCATATCTCATGTTCTTGACAGCAGTAGAACATACGGATAACAAGGTATGTATGAATGATTGATAGAAGACCTTCTTTTCAAATACATGCAAAGCATTCAAAACTGCGCTTTGAAAGCAACCCTGTCCGTACCGTTTGTAATTACTTGCATTATTAATCTGTATTTTATATTATGATATTTCAAGAATATATTTACACCTTTTCTACTTTTAGACCGGTTGTGTTGTCATTGCTGCCTTATTACATTACTTCTTCCTGGCTATGTTCTGTATCATGTTGTGTCTCGGTATTGACCTAGCAGTAGCCATTCTCGATGTGTTCAATTCGAGGTCAAGTTCTGCAGTCTTTTACCTTGTTGGATGGGGTAAGGGCAAATAATTATCTATGTAAATTGAATGTTTACATCACCCACATATGAATAAATCCTTTATAAGATACAAAATACTTTAGGCTCATAAATAAATTATAAAAAAAAAAATAACTGTTTGTAAACAATATAACTCCACAAAAAGAAAAAGGCTGTTAAAATTAACAAATATTAACGGTGAGGTCTCTGACATTTGAATATAACAAATGCATCAATTAATAAATCTCATGCATATACATATGAATGCATATTTTATTATATCATGAAACACACTATATAAAATTGAATTTATATTTCTATAAATGAATTGGTGGTATCGCATTACTGCCAAAAGTAACATTTGCTAACTATTGCACAAACTTACCTATAGTGCATTTTTGTCAAAATTTAAGTAACCTTGTCTTTCCGCTCCTTCTGAAAAGGGATTTTTAGCCGGGCTTATTGCTAAAAGAGCAATTGCCGGCTTATGTGATCCTGTTCAAGGCAGGATGTTGACCCCATAGTCGCCATTTTAAAGTTACGTGCAAAAATATAGTTCTTACTCTCAACCGCTTTTGAGATAAAACAAACGCTAAATAAAGCAACAAAAACAAGTTTTATCTATATAAAATAAACATTAGTATTAATGACTTTGAAAACTTCATAAGTCAAAGAACATAGTTCATTAGCGTAAGGATTTTTGATAATCAGTGTTACCGTAGTTCTCTACACATACGAGGTAAAGCAGGAGAGGGAACCAGACTGGCCTGTTTATTTACATTCAGCTGCGGTACCAGATTAATTCTGATTCTGACAAAATCGGACCGTGGTATTAGGATTGAAAAACTCACTGTCAGTGTCTTATCATTTATATTGATAATTTTAAAATATTTTTTTCATCAGAGTATAAACGTGATTCATGTAAGAAATCCATTCTACTCTGTAAATGAGCCCGACTCTCTGTACTTCTGAGTACTTTGATTAAGTTTGGAGAAAGAACTTTATTTACTCATCAATTTATTATTATAATTATAAGTTTTTGCTTGTCGTATATTTTTCAGGTAAATTGATTTCTTTCTCTGGCTGGCTCCCAACTTTCTAAAACGATACTACGTCCTCGTTCTTAGCCTTTTTATGTTCCTCTTTGTAGGTTTACCAGCGGTGATTGTAGGTATTACACTTGGTGGATCACAACTGGACGGATATGGGGATGAAAGATAGTGAGTAAAATGTATTGTTAGCTAATGTATGTATAACCAACAATTAAAAATGACTTCAAACAATTAAAAGGAAAGTAGGAAACTCACCAAATGCTCTACTGCCATTTCATATTTTTATTCACTAGCTGTTGGTTAAGGGATTCTTCGTTATATGGATTCATAGTTCCAGTCTTGTGTATCATCTCGGTAAGCTAAGATATTTATCCCCATTACATTGATTTAGAAATACAGAAATGCCAAAAACATTTTGTTTGCTTTGTTTATATATTTCTGAAATACTCCAGGTTAACCTAATAATCGTCATCGTTGTTATGAGAATGATGTACACATCAGCTTTCATGGCGAAGAAATCACTGAGAGAAAAAACGATGTAAGTAAAGGAAAACATTAAGGTAGTACGAGTGTGAAATCAAAGTAATGGAAAACAAATGATTTTGGTATAAATGAATACACATATGTATAAGCAATGCATGATTATAATATAAAGAAAAAGAGTGTAGCCGTTTGCCCCCTAGCGGTTGCCAAACTAAGGGAGGTAACTCTGTGTGATATTTTCCTTATAAATATAGTCCACACACCAACTTAAAAAAAATAGGTCAAAGATTATGTAAAATTTTGAAATGTTAATTTTTATTAAGCAAGGAACATCTGTTCTAAAATTTAAAACAAAAACTTTTTTTTTAACAAATTCTAAACTGTGCTTGCGGCGCCACCTATGACGTCTAATTTTTCTGACCAAAATACATAAGTTGTGGATCTTAATCAAATTATAAAACATAGACAGAGTAATGGAATCAGAAAAAACAATTTATTTTTATAAAAAATAACAACAATCAATCACTTTGTCCAAATTTCAGAAAAAAGAGTGGAGCCGTTTTGAAAATATTTCACCCGAATTTCCTCTGATCAGCTTTTCTCTGCAAAATTCTTGTGTTTACAACTGCTCTTAATTCGTTTTCATTCATAACTCAATAAAAACAACTAAAATGGAAAATGGACATGATACAATATTCTCTGAACTATATATTACCTAAACAATATTCATTTTTAAAATAAAAAAAAAAGTTATTTCATTAAATGTCCTCCATAGCCATCTATAATGTCCAATGATTCGAAACAATAAAATATGAGAAATATATGAATTGTTATCACATATTTTACAATATGCAGAGTAATGGAAATAAAAAATGCATAGGTTTTACATGAACAATAACAGTAATTAATTATTGTGTCCAAGTTTTAGAAAAAAGAGTGGAGCCATTTTGAAAATATTTAGCCCGAAATTCCTCTGATCTGCTTTTCTCTGCAAAATTTTCATGCTTACGACTTCTCTAAAATCAGTTACATTTCAATAAAAACAATCTAAATAAAAAATGAACATGGCACAATTTTATGATCTATAAATTACCTGAACAACTTTCATTTGTAAAATAAAAAAGAAATTAATGTTTCACAGTGTACGATCTTACAATATGCCAGCTATTATTTTCCATTGACTAACAATGAGAAATGAGAAATATGAATCCTTGTCACATATGTTACTACATGCAGAGTAATGGAAACAAAAAATGTATAGGTTATACATGAAATATGACAAAAATCAATCAATGAGTCCAAGTTTCAGAAAAAATATTCAGCCCGAATTTCCTCTGAACATCTTTTCTCTGCAAAATGTTCATGTTTAATAATAAAATTATTCCAATAACATTTCCAAATTATACAATATGTATTAAAATGAATATTAAGTTTTATGAAATAATATTTTATACCTGAACTGTCATTACAAGCATATAAAACAATAATTTTTTGTTGTATTATGAGCTCAGACTGTTGTTTTATGAGCTCAGACAAAACTTGACTAGTTTAAATAATGGAAGAGGTTTAGAAAACCATGAACCTGTGTGACATTTAACCCAGGGCATACAAATACAAAACAGTATATCAATGCATGGAAAAAGTGCAGGAACATCATAATTTCTTATATTTCGACCAAGTTCCACCACACTGTCATTGGTAGACAAAAAATCAAAAAAGCTCGTAGGACAGTCCTGTCCTTATGTTTACTGCTTTCACCTCGATCTTTGTCATTGTGGTACATTTTCTTTCCCCCGGTCCTTATTCCAGTTATCTCTCTTACTTTTGGATGATTGGAGTCTTTGGTAGTACATGTACATGTAAATATGTACTGGCTGAAGTGGTTTTCTCCATTGATGGCCAAAATTTGTAGTATATGTGTAGCATACGCTCTGGCTAAAATAAAATAAATTATATTCATTATATATTTATTTATTTAGGTAAACTTAACTAGAAGAGATATGGTATAATAATTGCTATACTCCCCTACCAAATACTGATATAACATATACATGTACAATACAAAAGAATACATAATAAGAGATGCATCTCATTCATTTAAAAATTATCCACTATAGACTTGAGTCACTTGACTTTTCAAAAGTAGGTCAAATTTCAAAATCAGTTCAATTAGTATGCCCTGGGTTAAAGTTTTTTCAAGAGGCAATCAAATTCAATGATGAAGGTAAAATATTTTACCCATAAAAAAATCTCTCGTTGCTGGTATTTTGTCTTTATCATGAGAACTCCTCTACAGCACATCCAGAAGCCTGCAAAGTTCCTTCCCGAACTTCATTTGTAGACATATTCTGCTGCCTGTGAAACAACAAGGATATTTGAGGATAAACAAGTCCTTGAACAAGATATGTTTATAAAATACTTATTGCCCATTACCCCAGATAATTGGAATTTTTCTAAGTCAAATGGACATAACTCTGTAAAAAAATTCCCTGATCTTACCTACCCAAAACAAACCTTGACCTAGATATTATTATGATAAATCTGTATACCAAATTTCATTTCAATACATGCAACCTCTGCAAAGAAAATAAACAGAAATTGGTGGTGGACCGACCGACTAACAGACATACAGCTGCAAACAGACAGCTGCAAAAGCAGTATGCCCTCCCTTGATACTGATATCATACCCCTAACTGGGAAAAAAATCATACCTGTATGTACAATTATCAGTAATGAATTAAGTATATTAAATTAAATAACACAGTGACTATAAGTTTCTTGAAATTATAATGATATGACCTCGAATGTGATTTGACACTCACTAGGAATTGACTTTCATAGAATTTTCTTGACTTTCCATGTTACTTATAAATAAAAGTAAATGACAAGGAATTGTGCTATAATGTATCAAATGATCTAATAAAATAAAACCCCTTACCATAAAAAATATGTGTTAAATTTTTGCATACCAACATATTTCCCCCCAGCCACCACAACCCTATCATCATTTTTTATATGTAGATGTGTATCCCTTATGGCCTTATCTGAATTATCACAATGTGTAACTAGTGCTAATTGTAACGGGAACCGTTACAGATGTTCCCCAAACGCTCCCCAACTCCTTTTTGGTGCCATATTCCCTGTAAGCTTCATTAAATAAGACAAACTCTGTGCATTTTTGACTTTAACAACGTTTTCTCAGAAGGATACCAATTATATTCAAATTTTAGCATTGTACCCGTGCGCATGTGAATGCATGTGCGTTATGATCATATCATCTTGTCTACACTATCTACATATTTTAATATACAATATATTAAAGCATTCAGTCCAAAAGTATGAAAAATCACTCTTTCAAGTGTATTTTTCATTTCACGTGTCCCAAATGCACGCACGTGCATGCACGTGCATGATGACCATACCTTCTTGTATGAGTCCCTTATATCTATATTCTAAATCCCATCCTGTTTGGTTGAAAAACAAGGGATTTATAGCCATTTCAAGTTTAAGCCAATCAGATTGCAGCACACGTGCATGCGCGTGATTTCATGATTTTTTTCAATATAATATTGTAGGATATCCTAATGCATTACTATGTTTTAAATTTCAAAGCACTTCGTCAAAAAACAAAGGAGATATAGCCATTTAAAGTTTCAGCCAATCAGATTGCAGCACGCGGGCATGCGCATGCTTTCATGAAAATTCTTATATATCATGCTGTATAGATCTTCATAATGTAGGTCTATGTTCAAAATTTCAAAGGATTATGACAAGAAACAAGAAAGATATTGAGACTTTAGTTTCAGCCAATCAGAGAGAAGCACACGTGCATGCGCGTGAGATCTTACTTTTTTGACCATGTCATTTTGTCTATGCTTCTAATATATACTTATAATATGAGTTTCAAAGCATTTCATTAATAATTTAAATAGTTACGTCTGTATCAATTATATTGGATATTTCACGTGTTGCACGCGCGAGCTCTTGCAAGCACATGTGCATGAACATGCTTTCATGATAAATCTTATATTACAGGCTGTAGATCTCCCTAATGTATGATTATGTTCAAAATTTCAAATGATTTTATCAAAAAACAAGAAAGATATTGAGACTTTAGTTTCAGCCAATCAGAGCGAATCGCACGTGCATGCGCGTGCGATCTTTGCTATTTTGACCATGTCATCTTTTGCATACTACTCATATATCCTTACATTATGAGTTTCAAAACATTTCGTCACAAAATAGAAAAGTTACGGTTATATCAATTATAAATTGGTCATTTCAAGTTTTGCACGTGCGCGCTCTTGCAAGCACGTGCGCGCAAAATGACCTTGATTCCGCAAATCTACATAACATGCCTACTTACCCTAAAAAGGTTTCACCTAAGTCGGATGTGTAGTTTACAAGATCACTCGCGGACAAGATTTTCCCAGGAAGAAAAATAATAAGAATAATAATAACTAGTGCTAATTGTAACGGGGACCGTTACAGATGTTCCCCAAACGCTCCCCAAATCCCTTTTTGTGCTTAATTCGTGTAAGACATTTTTAAAAATATGATCAGTATCGAAGGATTTCATCAAAGAATTATAAAGGCTACAATGCTATCAACTATATGTCATTTAACGCATTGTACCCGCACGCACGTGTATGCACATGCAAGATGATTATGGCATGTTGTCTAAACCATTAACATTACTTTATATCGTGAGAATAAATAAAAAATCATAAAAATATAAATGTTACCGTTTTTTAGATAAATTGGTCATTTTGCGTCTTTCGCGAACGCACATGCATATATGCATGTTCTACATTCATTTTGATAGTTCCATAATGAAGGAATCCATTATACATGTAGCTATTCATAGTCTAAATTTTATCCCGTTTCATTGAAAACTAAGAAAGTTATAGAGATTTAATGTTTCAGCCAATCAGATTGCAGCACAGGTGCATGCGCATGCTTTTCATGATAATTCTTATATATCATGCTGTAGATCTTTATAATTTATAACCATGTTCAAAATTTCAAAGGACTTTGTCGAAAAACAAGAAAGAT